CTCAGGTCATGATCCCAGAGTCCTGGGATCTAGCCCTGCATCAGGCTCCCTGCTCAGCAGGGAGTCTGCTTCTCCCTCTCCCTCTGCTCCTCTCCCGACTTGTGCTCTCTCTCTCTCTTGCTCAATCTCTCAAATAAATAAACTCTTAAAAAAAAAAGAGAGAGTAAAAAGACAACCTACAGAATAGGAGAAAATATTTGCAAAGCATGTATCTGAGGAGGGTTTATTATGATGAATATATAAAGAACTCCTAAACTCAAGGAAAAGACGACCCAATTGAAAAATGGGCAAAGGATCTAAATAGACACTTCTCCAAAGAAGAATAGCCAATAAGCACATGAAAAGATGCTTGACAACACTATGATTAGGGAAATGCAAATCAAAACCACGTATGATACCACTTCACATTCCCTAGGATAGCTAAAATAAAAAAGATAGACAATAGGGGCACCTGGATGGCTCAGTTAAGCAACCAACTCTTGGTTTCGGCCCAGGTCATGATCTCAGGGTCATGAGATCCAGCCCCACATCAGCTCCATGCTCAGTGGAGAGCCTGCTTGAGATTCTCTCTCCCTCTCCCTCTGCCCCTCCACTCTGCCCTGCGCAGTCTCTCTCTCAAATAAATAATCTTTTTTTTTTTTTTTTTTTTTTTTTTTTACACGTAGACAGGGGCGCCTGGATGGCTCAGTCAGTTAAGCATCTGCCTTCAGCTCAGGTCATGATCTCAGGGTCCTAGGATCAAGCCCCAAGTCTTGATAAATATGTACCCACTTAAAAACCTATTAAAAGTCTGCTTCTCCCTCTCCCTCTGCTCCTCCCTGCCCCCAGATCATGATCTCTCTCTCTCAAATAAATAAATAAAATCTTTTTTTAAAGGTAGACAATAAAAAAAAAGGTAGACAATAATAAGTGTTGACAAGAACGTGGAGAGATTAGAACCCTGGTATACTGCTAGTAGGATTGTAAAATGGTACAGCCACCTTGGAAAGGTTTGAGAGTTTCTCCAAGTGTTAAACATAGAGTTACCAGATGACTCAAATCTTACTCCTTGATAAAACCTAAGAGAACTGAAAACATGTCCACACAAAAAAACTGGTACACAAATATCCATAACAGCATTATTCATAATAGCCAAAAAAAGGAACAACACAAATGTCCATCAGGGGATGAATGGAAAACCAAAATAAGGTATATCCATCAGTACAATGGAATATTATTCAGCCATTAATAAATGAAGTACTAATACATACTACATCATGAACGAACCTTGAAAGCATTATGTGAAGTTGAAAGAAGCCAGACACAAAAAGCCACATATTAGAGGCACCCGGCTGGCTCAGTCTGTGCAGCATGTGACTCTTGATCTTGTGGTTGTAGGTTCAAGTCCCATGTTGGGTATAGAGATTACTTAAAAATAAAATCTTAAAAAAAAAAAAGCCACATACTGTATGACTCCATTTATATGAAATGTCCAAAACAGGCAAATCCATAGTGACCAAAAATAGATTAGTGGCTACCAGGGACTGGGGGAAGAAAGGAATGGGGAATAACTGTTAATAAGTATGGGTTTTCTCAATGGAGTGATGAAATGTTCTGGAATTAGATAGTGGTGATGACTGCATAACCCTATGAGTATACTAAAATCCACTTTATTAAAGGGTGATTTTTATGTTGCGTAAGTTACATATCAATAAAGAGCCCATAAGAAATCAAAATGTTTGATAAATGTGTACGTACTTAAAAATGTCATGTTTTATGGTAATTAAATTTTCACTAAAAATGTAAATTTAGCTGTTTGATACATTTTTGTACTTCATGAAAGAATTATACTAGCAAACATAGTATGTTTGACTCATTCTTAAGAGGTCCTACATAGCATAAAAAGCTTACCTACATAAATTTTCGTATATTCTCACATTAAAAAAACACACACAGGGGCACCCGGCTGGCTCAGTCAGAAGAGCATGGAACTCTTGATCTCAGGGGTCGTGAGTTGGAGCGCTACACTGGGTGTAGAGGTTACTAGAAAAAACAAATTTAAAAAACCCCACATAGACAATAAAGACAGTCTGATAGCTGGAGCTTTCAGCAGAGCTGTCAGCTTCCCTGGGATAAACAAAATGGATAAACTGACCCTGAGAGTGAGATTAGCATGCCAGAGGATTTGGAAAAGGGCACTTGGGATCAACAACATGGAGAGAAGGGGAAGGAAGCAGGATAGAGCAGGGGGAGAAGGTGGACTGTGATGAAGTCTCAAGGTTGGTCCCGGGGGACCCCACAGGAAACTCTAAAGCTGGGTGGCCCTTCAGCATTGTCCTGGGTTGGGGCAAGGAGGCTGGGCCCTTTATATCTCCATCTTGATTAGTCCCTGGATGCAGGATGCGCTGGGGAAGGCAAATAGCTCTTTTCATTCAAGTAACTCCTAAAGGAACTGACAGCTGAGGGCTTCTTGCTGGTGGTACTCCCAATGACTATAGGATTTAGTTCATTCCTAAAGGGGGCCCTGGATGGTGTATCACTGCCTCCACAACCTATGCTAAAATGCTTAGGAAGAAAACTAGCACTTACCAAGAACTATGTACCAACCACTTTCATAGACATTATCCCATTCAATCTCATAACCAGTGGTTACTCAATCTCCAGGCCACATACTTAATGATGTTAGTGAGAGGAGGAGCCATATCTGACTCCAAAGCTCTTTCCTCCATATCACATTTGCCAAGGGACTCTGAAAATTGGATATTTCAGAAATATTTATTGATCCATGTCTTAAAATTGACATCTTCAGGGCACCTGGGTGGCTCAGTGGGTTAAGCATCTGCCTTAGGTTCAGGTCATGATCCCAGAGTCCTGGGATGGAGCCCCGCATCGGGCTCCCTGCTCAGCGGGAAGCCTGCTTCTCCCTCTCTCTGCCTGCTGCTCCCCCTGCTCGTGCTCTCTCTCTCTGTGTGTGTGTCAAATAAATAAAATCTTTTTAAAAAATTGACATCTTCTTGGGGTAACTGGCTGGCTCAGTGGGTGGAGTAGGTGACTCTTGCTCTCAGGGTTGTGAATTCGAGCCCCACGTTGGGTATAGAGTTTACCTAAAAATAGAATCTTAAAAAAAACTGACATCTTCTCAACATCTATTATGTACCAGGCGCTGGGAAATTATAGAAAAAAAGACAAAATGTCTGCCACAGAATTAACAGGCCACATGAGGTCAAGAATATAGAGACAAATCAGCATGTCCTGCATTTTTCTTTAACTATATTCAGCTGACTGGGTGCAGGAGCAGAGTGGTGGAGAGTTGAACTCAACTGGGATTGAAGTTTTGCCAGATGAATATTATAAGGCAAGAGGGGTTCAAGGAAATTGAGAGAATATTCATGAAAATGTATTATTTTTAGCTTATTTACTTTGCTATCAACTATATTCAATAGTAGAAAGAGGGCCTCTGGGTGGCTCAGTTGTTAAGCGTCCGCCTTCAGCTCAGGTCATGATCCCAGGATCCAGGGATCGAGCCCCGCATCGGGCTCCCTGCTCAGCGGGAAGCCTGCCTCTCCCTCTCCCACTCCCCCTGCATGTGTTCCCTCTCTCGCTGTCTCTTTCTCTCTCTGTTGAAAAATAAATAAAATCTTTTTAAAAAAAATAGTAGAAAGAATAATATAATGAACCCCCACGAGTCCACCACCCAAATCCAACAATAAAAAACGTTTTGCAACCTTCTTTCATCTATTCCTCCACACACTCTCTCTTCAAGAATTTTTTTAAAAGATTTTATTTTTAAGTAATTTCTACACCCAACATGGGGCTCAAACTCACAACCCTGAGATCCAGAGTCATATGCTCCACGGACTGAGCCAGCCAGGCACCCTTCTCTTTAAGAATTTTAAAGCAAATCCCAGACATCATACCAGTTCACCCATAAATACTTTGCGATGTATCTGTCATAAGTCCTTTTTTTTAAAGTAAGGACTTTTAAAAACCATAATCACAATGCCTTTCTCACATATGACTAACAATAATGCTTCAATCTTAACTAATTCTCAGTCCATATTCAAATTTTGCAAAGAAATGATGATAATGATCGGCAATGAACTTAAGCTGGCTAGGGAAAGAAGGATAAGGGAGGCTCTGGAGTTAGGGACCATGGAAATGTGGCTAGATCAATAGATTGAACGTCCTGGCGGGTGGGCACATTATTGGAGTTAGAAGCCCACAGCGAGTGAACTGGAGGAATTGGGGGTGGTCCCATTTTCATTGGGTCTATGGCTCAATCACAACAGTCTTCTTTTCCAGTTGATTAGATGAGACAAACGCCTTCCAATCTGATCTCTTTCCCACAATCTCATCTATTTTATCGCCAGCACCTGTGCAGACTAAATTAGGTCCGCCTTGTATACACTTGGTACTTCTTCGGAGCACTTCTAATCATAATCTCAAAACTACAGGAACACGTATTTGAGGTCTAACTCCATTAAGACCTGTCTCCTTTGTTCACTGCTGTCACTGCCAACGCCTAGGACAGCGTCAGTAGGGCACACTCCACAAATTATTGTTGGACAAAGGAGGGAGGGTGTTCAATAATGCCAAATGCCAGACTTCTAAACCCACCTGTAACACGGTTTCTAAAAAAGCTTCTCAATTATTTACTCTTAAGTGACGGTCGCCATTTCTTCACTTCTAAAAGGATATAACTTAGGAGGGCCATATCAGTTAATTACTTTAAGACTAAATTTGGCCCTCATCCCTGTCGAGTTTGGAGAAACTGCGCTCTAAAAATCCCTTATCAGCCCAAATACGATAGTACGTAAAGAAAACGATTAACCTAGGTTTAAACACCAGGGCCTCCCGTGGTGGTTCGCCTCGTTCTAAAATGAGGGTTTACCTCGTTCTAAGATGGCCACGAAGGGTGGGCCCCGCGGTCAGATTCTCTGAGTCGCGTGGGCAAACGCGCGGGACCGCGACTCAGAGGAGGATCTTAACGGCGCAGAACGGAAGTTCCTGAGCCCTCAAACCCGCGGGGAAGCAACTCCGCAACGGACCAAGATGGCGGCGCCCAGTGAGGGGCAAGCGTTCGCTGCGGGGGTTGAAAAGAATTGGGGTGCGGTTGTTCGCTCCCCAGAAGGGACTCCCCAAAAAGTCCGGCAGCTGATAGATGAGGGGATTGCCCCGGAGGAGGGAGGCGCGGAAGCGTGAGTTCGCGAGTCCACCCTGGGTCCGGCGCCGGCGGATTGGGGAGGGTTTGGGGAACGCAGGCCTGGGGGGGAGGGGGATCCCTTGGGTCTGCAACTCGGTTGGTGGGGTTGGCTACGTCAGGGGTTGTGAAAGAGAATGGGTTTACTACGTTTACTCGGCATTAATCTTATCGGGATGTACTGCATTCCGTACCACGGGCGGATTTTTGCCACGAGACAGGTTTTGGAGGGAAGGAAAAAAAAGAGGACCGCTAACTGAATATGCACCTGACATCTTAGTTTGATTTCTTAACCTTTTTTTTGAGCCTTAGACACCTTTGGCAGCCGGGTAAAGCTTATGAACCCCTTCTCAGAATATTTTTAAGGGCATGAAGTAAATTACATAGGATTATTAAAAAAAATTACGTTGGAATGCAGTTATCAAGAGAGTAAAATTTAAAAAATGATGCAGTGGGGTGCCCGGGTGGCTTAGTCGGTTAAGCGTCTGCCTTCCGCTGGGGTGGTGGTCCCAGGGTCTTGGGATCAAGCCCCGTATGGGGCTCCTTGTTCGGAGGGGAGCCTGCTTCTCCCTCTTCCTCTGCCCCTCTCCCTGGTTGTGCACTCTCTCCCTCTCAAATAAATAAATAAAGTCTTTTTTTAAAAGTGATGCAGTAACATGGTTCATTATTAAAGAGTTAATTAACATCTAGTAATGTCTGCTATCTACCATAATTCTGAAGTAATCATAAACATAAGTGATATTTCAAAACGTGCAACAACCATAATGTGACAAAATATCTGATTTCCATTGGTGACAAATTCACAGGTACTGCTGATGCTACTATCTTTTGTGTTTTTTTTTTTATTACCTTCATTCATAATTGAAGGAAATGCTAAATTTCAGTTAGAGGTTAGTAAAATGTCACTTTTTTCTCAGACAGGTTTGTGGATCCTCTCAATTTCTTTCAAGAACCACACTTCCCTGAGGCTCTCTGAGAAAGTCTTTGAGTTTATTTCTTTTGAGTTATAATAGTTGGTGTAACCCTGTTTTTGTTAAAATGACTTTTTTCCTCAGCAGTTCCTCCCTCTACCCCTCCCACACGCTGCTGAAATACCTTTTGCTGAAAATAAGATAATTGTTTTGTTGGTTTTTTTCTCCCTGAATTTTTTTCATAAAATTGCCTGAAGATCTTTACTTTTTTTTTTTTTTAAGATTTTATTTAGTTATGTGACAGAGAGAGCACAAGCAGGGGGTGTGGCAGGGAGAGGGAGAAGCAGGCTCCCCTCAGAGCAAAGAGCCTGATCCGGGGGGATCCCATGATGCTTAACCAACTGAGCCACCCAGGCACCCCTGGAAATCTTTACTTTGATTTGAATTTTCAAATTAGTTCTTTTTTTGGGGGGCGGATATCAAGAGTCAACCCAGGTAGAAATATCAAAATTTTTTTCCCTGTGTTAAAAAGAGTTAAATTTCTAAGGTGGTTCAAATTGTCTAACGCATAGAAGCCTTGAGTCTAATTTTATGTTTACATAAGTTGTGTGAAATACTATTGGAGAATAGTGCGTGAGCTAGAACAGTTTGCCGGTATAGGATTAGTAGGTATAGCCAAACTGTAAAGAGGTTTGAACGCCAGACTGAAGAATTTGGATTCTATTTAGTAAGTATTGTGAAACCATTGATAATTTTAAGCAGAGGAATGACATAACAAATGATTTTTAGAAAGGTTAAAATCCAGCGTGGCATGATTGATGCTATGATGTGCTGAGAAGTGAGATGAAAAATGTTTGGGCAAAGTGATGCTGTGGAAGGATTATCAAGAGTTCTGCCACTTTATTTTAGGAAGGACACATCTGCCACATTCCAGTCAGTTAATGGGTCACCCCAAGCAGAACAGCCGCCATTGGAATCTACAAGCAAAGAAGCCTTCTTTAGCAGAGTGGAAACATTTTCTATATCCTTTTTTATTAGCTCATGTGAGCTGCACTTTCTCCCTGCTCCTGGAACTGTTACTCCTCCACTTACTCTGATGTTTTAAATTTAAGAATTAAACTTGGTAAGGGGCGACTGGCTGGCCCAGTTGGTAGAGCATGTGACTCTTAATCTCAGGGTCGTGAGTTCAAGTCCCATGTTGGGCATGGAGCCTAGTTAAAATTTTTTTAAAAAGTAGATTTGGTAAGAAATTTTATAGGAAAATCAGCATCAGAGAATGTTGTTCCTCAAAGGGATGTTTGAGATGACCCGACATCGCTTCTTGGCCTTTTGGCTAAGATCAAGTGTTGAGATGACCTGACCTTTTTTTTTTCCCCTGACCTTTTCTTTTCACAGAAGAAAACAGTAAGAGCTCGAGAGGAGAAGAAATAATAACTAACACTTGTATGTAGCGTATTTTCACATATATTATCACATTTGATCTTCACCTTAAACCTATGAAAACAGGTATTATTATTATTATTATACTCATTTACAGAAGAGGAAACAGTTTCAGGTAGATTATGTGACTTGCCTCTGGTCAACCTGCTAGCAAATGGCAGAGTCAGGAATACAGCATAAGGCTATTGGTACCCCAACCTAATGTTTTTTGAGACTGCCTACTACCCTTCCTGACTCTTTCTAGATTTTCCCCTGTATATTATCTATTATTACATAATGAACTACACTATGACTTAATGGCTTAAAACAACCAACCACTTAGGTCACAATTTCTGTGGGTCAGGAATGTGGGCCCAGCTTGGTTGGGTCCTCTAGCTTAGGGTCTCTCGCAGGCTACAATCGAGGTGGCAGCTGACCTGCAAGTCATGTCCAGGCTCTCCTAGGAGAAGATGCACTTCCAAGCTCACTCACATGGCTATTGGATTGAAGGCTTCAAGTCTGTAGTGGCTGTTGGCTAGAGCCCTCCCTACATTCCTTGCAACATGGGCCTCTCCACACGGACAGTTCATAGCATGGCAGCTGGCTTCCATCAGAGTGAGCAAGTGAAAAAGAGCAAGAAAGAAGCTAGACTCTTTTTGTGACCTAATCTCAGAGGTGACATCCCATCACTTCTGCCCTTTTCTATTCACTAGAGTGATTTTTTTAAAAATATAAAACATAAAACAGTTTCAGACTTGCAGACTTTGTTGCACAGGTTATAAAGAACTTCCTTTCTGAGCTACATATAAGTAAGTTGCCAAAGTGATGATACTCGCTACCCCCAAATATTTCCTACATACAAGGACTTTTTCCTACATAACTACAATACAGCCATCAAAATCAGGAAATTTCACCTAATAAATTACTACCATCTAACCCTCAGACCCTAATCATTTCAACAGTTATCCTAATAATATTCTTTTTTTTTTTTAAGATTTTATTTATTTATTTGACAGAGAGAGACACAGCGAGAGCAGGAACACAAGCAGGGGGAGCGGGAGAGGGAGAAGCAGGCTCCCCGCGGAGCAGGGAGCCCGATGCGGGGCTCGATCCCAGGACCCTGGGATCATGACCTGAGCCAAAGGCAGACGCCCAACGACTGAGCCACCCAGGCGCCCCCTAATAATATTCTTTATAACAAAAGGAGCCAGTTGAGATTCCTGTTTTTCCTTGAATTTCGTGATCGTGATACGTTCGAAGGTGACAGGCCAGTTGTTTTTCGGAGTGTACCTCAATTCGCATCTGTCTGCTGTTTCCTTTCAGTTCGATGCAGCTGGTGGAGGAGCCTCCCAGGACGGTGCTGTGTGCTCACTGCGTCCTGCCAGGTGGCAGATTTAGGTGTATCCCTTTCCTGGTGATTCCTTTCCTCCCTTGAGTCAGGGAGTGTCTGCCCATCTTTTCCATTGTAAAGTAACTCTCTTCTTTCTTTGTAGTTAAAGTGTTTTGGGCAGAGGTGCTTTGAAACTATGCAAATATCCCATTCCTCATCAAACTTCATTAAGTAGTAATTTACTCAGAGCAGCCTGGGCTGCCTTTTTTATTCAGTGGGTTATAATCCATTACTATCATGATATATTTTGATACTCCGGTTATCCCTGATTTGGTGATCGGGGACCCCATGGAGATTTCTTTACACCCTACTTGGCTTCAGCACCTCAAGGTGAGCAGCCCCTTTTTACCCACTTTGGCTTCCGACACCTGGCACTGAGCTGCCTCCCCTCACCTTCCTGGCTGTCCTCCTTGCTCACCATCTGATAGCTTTAGGAATAAATTGCTCAGGGGGAGGAAGGTATTTTAATCCTTCTACTGCTGCTCCTTGGACTAATTCCTGATTTTGCTGCAGTATTTAGAACCGTTTTCTTTGGGTCTTTTTTGTTTTCATGGATATGAATTGATCACCACTTAGGATATGACAATTGTTTATTTAACACAGCTAGTTAAGTAATTCTATTACTTTTATTTACTTATTTACTTACTATTTTTTTAAATAGACTCCATGCCCAGCTTGGAGCCCTTTAACATTTATATCTAAATTCTGTTTTCTAGGGCGCCTGAGTGGCTCATTTGGTTAAGCGACTGCCTTCGGCTCAGGTCATGATCCTGGAGTCCCAGGATCGAGTCCTGCATCGGGCTCCCTGCTCGGCGGGGAGTCTGCTTCTCCCTCTGACCCTACCCCCTCTTGTGCTCTCTCTCTCTCTCAAATAAATAAAAAAAGAACTGCTTTAAAAAAAATAAATAAATTTCTGTTTTCTAGCCTTTAGGCCCTCTTTTGCTGATTTAGAATATTTTCAAATTCCCATATTTTAAGCATAAAATACACAGAGCTTTGTAGAGAAAAAGTTAATAATTTTTGCCCCTCTGGTTATTATTCAAATGACTTTCATTATTCTGTGAAGTATGTGTGCTTTAAAAATAGTTTTTTCAAACTTTTCTTATGGCTTTTCCTCTCAATCTGTTTATTCCTGTATATATAAAAGAATGAGTTCAAGTTTTAATTTTTGACTTACTCATTTTAATATACTTGCAGCGTTGTTTTTCTTAATGTGAATACTCTCTGAAATGGGCAGGTAAGCCCTCTGAGCTGTCTCCACTTGTCTGTGCAAAATACGGCTGGGTCACAGTTGAATGTGATATGCTCAAGTGCTCCAGCTGCCAGGCTTTTCTCTGTGCCAGTTTACAACCAGCTTTTGATTTTGACCGATGTAAGTATAAAGTACAAATTACATTTTCCTCCATGTTCACAGATATATTAGACCAGTTTTTCTAAAAAGACCAGTCACCTGTGTTTGATCACAGAATGTGTACTATTACATGGAGCAAAGTGAATTTGTGATCGTCTTCATCTTAATGATTAGCTTCAGTTACTACTTTTTTAAAAAACTGAGCTATTTTAAAGTGAACCTGACTCTATGCATTCTGGAAAACTAACAGCAGGGTATGTTTACTTTATGGTTCCAAAATGTATACTTAGACAAAGAGACAAGGCACTTTGATGAAGCCTGGTGCTTCAGAATGCCTGCCTTGTAAGACACATATTATTTCCTTTGTTATTGAGCTTAGGATCTTGATTTAGAACTTGTTTTGTGAAAAATATTAAGATGATATAGTTGCTAATATTTTCATGGCTTTTAAAATTATCTTAGTCATTTTTATTTTTAATTCTGTCTATACTCTTAAAGGTTCTTGGCCATTCGATTTTGAATCTATCTAGTGTTTTCTAAGGCATTACTCCCTATGTGGGTTTCAGATAAGGACCGATGTGCTGAGCTGAAGAAAGCCTTGTGCACTGCCCACGAGAAGTTCTGTTTCTGGCCAGACAGCCCCTCCCCAGGTACTCATTTCCAAGATCTCCCATTTACCATCTCTTCTTCTAGTATTGTCTATTTCTTTGCGAAAATCTAGTCTTGGAGGTTTCTTTTCTTCCTTTCTACTTGTGCTTTTCAAGAAGAACTTACATTCATCCACTTGTTAGGTTCTTACTTAACTTTATTATGGGCATTCAGCATGCCAACAGCTTAGCCATGTATACATTATCCCACTTAATTCTCACCGGGGCCCTGGGAGCTAGATTCTCAACCCATTTTGGGGGTGAGGAAACAGAGTCAGAGATCTTAAAACCAAGTGGTGAGGAGGCAAAACTATGGTTTTATCTGATTTCAAACTCTGCTTTTCCCACCATAGCAAACAGTCCCATGTTCTCCCCTGGCTTCCTTTGGTGCACTAACGGTGGCAGTTAAATGGGGTTCGGTTGCTAAAGCAGACTCACAGGAAGCCAGATGAGAGTGATTACAAACATAGAGTTTATCACAGTGAAATGACACAATATAACAGAGCACTGAAGCCAAAGACTGCCTGTATAAGGGCCTTGGCAGGGCTCACTCTCTTGCATCAGGTGACTTTGTGATTGTCTTCACTCTAATTATTAACTTCAGTCTTTAGGTTTTTTTTTAGAACTAAGCTACTTTAGAGTGAACCTGACTATGTATTCTAGGAAACTAACATCAGGGTATGTTTTCTTTATGGTCCCAAAATTTATACTTAGGCTAAGAGACAGGAGTTTTATGAAGCCTCACACTGCAGAATGCCCTGCCTTATAAGATACATGATAGCTCCTTTGTTATTGATCTTAGAATCTTGATTTAGAGCTTGTTCTGTGAAAAATATTAAGATGATGCAGTTGCTAATATTCTCCTATCTTTTAAAGTTGTTTTAGTTATTTTTAATCGTATCTGTACCCTTGAAGGCTCTTGGCCTTTAAGTGTTTCTATGCACAAAAAGCCCAAAATGTAGTAACAAGTGGGATTTTTTTTTTAAAAGATTTATTTACCCATTTTAGAGAGAGAGAGAGAGCATGCGTCCATGAGTGGGGAGGGGGACAGAAGGAGAGAATCTTCAATCAGACTCCCGCTGAGTATGGAGCGTGATGCAGGCCTCAATCCCATGACCCTAAGATCATGACCTGAGCTGAAATCAAGAGTCAGACACTTAACTGAGTCACCCAGCACCCCAGCAAGTGGGATTTTTAAATATTTTACTGGTTGGGGCACCTGGGTGGCATAGTCAGTTGGGTGTTGGACTCTTGGTTTTGGCTCAGATTGTGATCTCAGGGTTGTGAGATTGAGCCCTGCATCAGGCTTAGCACTCAGCACAGAGTATGCTTGAGATTCTCTCTCCCTCTGCCCATCCCCACCCCGCTCTCTCTCTCCCTCTCTCAAATAAATAAATCTTTTTATAAATAGATAGATATTTTACTGGTCACATAGGCATATTCTTGCTGGGTAACCAGCCTCCACAGCAGAGCCTTCCAGAAGGCTCACCAAGACCAGGTGCAAAACTTCATGCCTGACCAGACATTCGTGCCATGCAGGTCTAACTTTTATTTCAGTAGGACAGCTCAAGCCAATTCCAGGATCACTGATGCCTGGAAATACTCAGTCAGTTGGGCATCTGCCTTTGGCTCAGGTCATGATCTCAGGGTCCTGGGATCGAACACCACCTGAGCGGGGAGTCTGCTTCTCCCTCTCCCTCTGCCCCTGCTCGTGCTCCCTCTCTTCCTCACTCTCAAATAAATAAATAAAATCTTTAAAAAAGAGAGAGAGAGATTGAAAGTGTCTATAGAGTGCCATTTACTGATAAGGGGAGATAGAAGGGACTATTAAGGAATAACATTTTTAAAGTGAAGATGATGTGTAACAAGGAGTTGCTGCTGTTGGCCTAGCTATTTCACTGTGTAGTACAACTGAACTCAGTCCCATGAGGATGTGACTCCTTCTCCCAGTGTACCCAGTCCAGGTTTTTAGGATCTGCCCAGGACCCTGTTGGTGGTTCCCAACTCTTATTATTATACACTCTGCTTTCTTGTTCCACCTACTTGCAGACCTCTAAGTCCTATCCCAACTTTTCTTTTGAGCTTGACTCATTTTCAACTACCTTCTAAACATTTTTATGTAATGTCTTGTAGGTACCTGGAATTCAATATGTGCAAAACTGAAGTCTTCATTTTGTACCTAAACTTTACTTCTCTTATATTTTCTCCATCTTAAATGGTACTGACCTCCCCCCTAGTTGTCCTAGCCAGAAACCTGGATGTCACTTTAGATGCCCTTCCCTATCTATCATCACCACCTGGTCCTGTCCATTCTACCTCCTAAACAGATCTCAAATGTGACCTTTCAATTATACCACCCTTGGTTTGGTTCTTTCACATTCCAGAGACTTTAGTGTGAAGAGAGGAAGACCTACAACTATTTATGCTTTAATGCTTACATTTATTAAGCATATCTAATAAATATAATTTTGAAGGTAATTTTTTTCTAACGTTTACCAACTAAATTAAATCCCCTTAAATATTTTAATTTATAATTATAATTTATAATTACTAATTGACTAGACTGATTATTTTGAACATATCAAACACTGAAGTAGACAAAATACTCACATATGTTAATATAAAACATAAAGTTTAACTTATGTTAAAACATTTTCATGGTGGGTTTAATTTCTTCTGTTTGCTCTTTTGCCTTCATCAGTTTTTACTAGTATTTTCTTAGGATTGTAGGAATCAGACCAAACCCTAAATCAGACCAAAGTGACCAGTCTCCTAAGTTTTGTCAAACCTGAGCCACTGGTCATCAGAACGTTTCCTTCTTATTGTTAAACCTCACTTGATTTTTTGTTTTAATTTTTTATTTCTTAAAGGATTTTATTTACTTATTTTTAGAGAGAAGGCAGAGAACAGGGGGAGGAGCAAAGGGAGAGGGAGAAAAAGGGGGAAAGAATCTCAAGTGCACTCCCCGCCGAGCCCAACTGGGACTTGATCTCACGACCCTGAGATCATGACCTGAGCTGAAACCAAGATTTGGACACTCAGCCCACTAAGCCACCCTGGCGCCCCTTCACTTGATTTTTTAAAATCCATACCTTTTTTGTTGATTGTAGTTTTTTTATAATTGGACTTTTCTAGTAAAATGATACATCTTTTTAAATTGATGGCATATGTCTTGACATATTTGGTTACTTGCAACACCTTTTAATAGTTTGAGAATATTTAATAACATTAGGGACCAAAATCTGGTTGCTGATGATACAATAAGTGGTGAACAAAGTGCTATTTTTACTTTTGTACCTCTTAATAACAAAACTAGAAAAGAGATTTTTTTCTTTTTTTTTTTTTAAGCATCTTTATGATTGAGGGATAATTGACATAAAATAAACCGCACATATTTAGGTGTACAGTCTGGTAGGCAGACACTTAACGACTGAGCCACCCAGGCACCCCCAAAAGCACATTTTAAAAGATTTTATTGGGGCGCCTGGGTGGCTCAGATGGTTAAGTGTCTGCCTTCGGCTCAGGTCATGATCCCGGGGTCCTGGGATTGAGCCCCACATCAGGCTCCTGGCTCAGCGGGGAGTCTGCTTCTCCCTCTCCCTCTGCCTCTCCCACTGCTCATGCTCTCTCTCTCTCTGTATCTCTGTGTCTCAAATGAATAAATAAAAAAATCTTAAAAAAAAGGATTTTATTTAGGGGTGCCTGGGTGGCTCATTCAGTTAAGCATCTGCCTTCGGCTCAGGTCATGATACTGGAGTCCCAGGATCAAGCCCCACCTCGGCCTGCCTAGATATGCTAAGTGAACTCTTGCTCCTCCGCTCTCCAAGACTACCATTAAGAAAAGTGTGACTAGGGGCACCAGGGTGGCTCAGTCTTTAAGCGTCTGCCTTCGGCTCAGGTCACGATCCCAGGGTCCTGGGATCGAGCCCCACATCGGGCTCCCTGCTCCACGGGAAGCCTGCTTCTCCCTCTCCCACTCCTCCTGCTTGTGTTCCCTCTCTCGCTGTCTCTCTCACTGTCAAATAAATAAATAAGTAAATATTTTTTTAAAAAAAACATCTTTATGGGATGCCTGGGTGGCTCAGTCGGTTAAGCGTCTGCCTTTGGCTCGGGTCATGATCCCGGGGTCCTGGGATCGAGTCCCACATCAGACTCCCTGCTCCGCGGGGAGCCTGCTTCTCCCTCTGCCTCTCTCTCTCTCTGTTTCTCATGAATAAATAAATAAAATCTTTAAAAAAAAAAAGAAACAGGGCGCCTGAGTGGCTCAGTTGGTTAAGCGACTGCCTTCGGCTCAGGTCATGATCCTGGAGTCCCGGGATCGAGTCCCACATCGGGCTCCCTGCTCAGCGGGGAGTCTGCTTCTCCCTCTGACCCTCCCCCCTCTCATGCTCTCTCTATCTCATTCTCTCAAATAAACAAAATCTTTAAAAAAAAAAAATCTTTATTAACTAAAGTCCATAGTATATATTAGGGTTCACTGTGTTGTACATTCTATGGATTTTGACAAATATATAATGACCCGTATCCACCATGACATTATATAGAAGTGCCTCACAGCCCTGAAAATTCCCTGTGCTCTACCTTTTCATCACTCACTCCTTCCCTCCCCCAGAATCACTGGCAACCACTGATCATTTTTACTGTCTCCATAGTTTTACTGTTTCCAGAATGTCATATAGTTAGAATCCCACAGCATGCAGCTTTTCAGACTGGCTTCTCTCACATAGCACTATACATTTAAGGTTCCTCAGTGTCTTCTAGAGTTCATTTTTTTCATTGCCACAGTTTGATATATTATTGCATTCTATTTCATTAAAATAACTGGGTTGTAGGGCGCCTGGGTGGCTCAGTTGGTTAAGCGACTGCCTTCGGCTCAGGTCATGATCCTGGAGTCCCGGGATCGAGTCCTGCATCAGGCTCCCTGCTCAGCAGGGAGTCTGCTTCTCCCTCTGACCCTCCCCCACCATATGCGCTCTCTCTCTCTCTCTCTCTCTCTCTCTCTCTCTCTCTCTCTCTCTCTCATTCTCTCTCTCAAATGAATAAATAAAGTCTTTAAAAAAAATAACTGGGTTGTAAATTAGGTAAATGATAAACTGATTTCAGAACCTAAGAAGGGGTAATAGCTGTAGTTTTAAAAACTATTGCCTAAAATACGATGTTAGGTTTTTGCTGGACACAAAGGGCCAGACAGCTTGATCCCTGTCTTAGGAGCTTAGGTATTGTTGGGAAAGAAAAGTCTACATACATGAGGTATTTAGTAACAAAAGGGTAACAACAAAACAAAGGTTAACAACAAAACAAAAGTAAAGGAGCTATAAGAAACTAGGAATTCCCTAGTACTGTTGAAGAATAGGAAGAACTTCCAAGTGCTGTAATAGAAACTCTATAAAAGCAGGAGCTTTTGTCACTCACTGATCATAAGACCTGGGTATGTTACTTTTATATTCCTCAGATTCTTCATCTGTAAAATTTATACGATAATATCTGTCGCACTGAGTACTTTTTTTTACATTTAAATTCAGTTAATTAACATATAGCGTATTATTAGTTTCAGAGGTAGAGTTCAGTGATTCATCGGTTGCATGTAACACCCAGTGCTCATTACATCATGTGCCCTCCTTAATGCCTGTCACCCAGTTACCCCATCCCCCCACCCCCAGTCATTAAATGAGTTTTATAACATTGATGTTCCTTCTCTCCATTCTTCTGCCACTGGTATTTTACAGGGATTATTACCTTAAATCACTTTAATGTCTGCTAAGCTTATTTTTTTGCATCCCAACTGACCCCTTACAATCTCTACTCTAAACTGTGCATGTTATCTATAATATCACTCTTTCAGTGTTCATGATCCCAGCATCCTGGGATCAAGTCCCGCATCGGTCTCCTTGCTCAGTGGGGAGCCTACTTCTCCCTCAGCCTGCCGCTCCCCCCTGCTTGTGCACGCTCTCTCTCTCTGACAAATAAATCAAATCTTAAAAAAAAAAATGTGAAATTAAAAAAAATCTTTAAGTAATTTCTCATCACATACATTAGTAAAGTCATGGTCTAGTTACTCTCTACACTTTAACCCCTTCTCCTACTCCTTTCCCCATAGGCAAACTTTGTTCCAGTCCTGTGAAACTGTTTAGAATTACCCATCTGTGCCATTCCCTTGGGCCTTTGCTTTTACACACTGTTGTTGGTCTTCTAATTCAGCTTAGACCGACTGCTTCTGAGAAACCCTTCTTGAGAATCTTCTTTTTTTGAATATTATCACAAAAATATCATTACAGCCCCATCAAAAAAAGTCAGTAATTCTTAATACCTTCAAATATTTTATCAATTTTATCAGTACCTAATCCCCATTGTTTTACAAACATCTTTTATTTTTTAACAATTTGCACCACATGATCTTCCAGTGTACTTTGTCCACAGATCGATTTGGGATGTTGCCATTGGATGAACCTGCTGTTCTTGTTAGTGAATTCCTAGATCGTTTTCAAAGCCTTTGTCACTTGGACCTCCAGCTTCCTTCCCTGAGGCCAGAGGACTTGAAAACTATGGTGAGTTTTTCTTGGCTAGCCTACAGTGGCCTTTCAGTTGTCACTACCATTTGTACATGAAGCATCTCTTTAAGTGACAGAGGATTCAGATTGCTATGAAGAGAACTAGTTGTTTGTCCCTCAACTGACCTTTTCTAATCTCCACCAGCTATTGAGAGTTTAAGTAAATGGGTCCCACTGAAACTTCTAGATAGGATTCTTTAAATGGCACACATTCAATTTTATCTTGATTTGTTACTTAAACTATTTAACAGAAGATACTGAAATGTGACTTCATATGGTTTATTGCATATCATTTCCCAAAGAAAATATTACAGAAGTTAGAAACTCCCTTCTCCCCTGTGAAGGGAAATTAGAAATGCTCTGAAACTGAATATCTGTACTTGGAAACTGAATATCTAGTGTCCCATTTCATCACCCTGTAGACACTCCAAAGACAAGCTTTACTGTAGGAAATAGAAGCTATTATTTTGTTTCTTCAAGTTGAGAGGCTCTTTGGATTTTAACCAAAGTTTAACTTCTGTGCCTATATTATTTTTTATTTATTTATTTAAGATTATTTATTTTAGAAAGAGCATGGGGGGAGGGGCAGAGGGAGAAGGAGAGAGAGATTCCCAAGCCTCATGACCCCAAGATCATGCCCCAAGCCAAAACCAAGAGTCGGACACTCAACCAACTGAGCCACCTAGGCACCCCAACTCTGTGCCTATTTTAAATGTCCCTTGTCCCTAGCCAAGGCAGCTTTTTTGTTCACCTTGTCAGCTCTTTATTATTCTTAGAACAAAAATAAAAACCTTGGCAAGCTCTCTTGGTCTGTCAAGAAGTAAATTCATTGTCAGGTTAAGATATAAATAGGAATCTGTTTTCATTACTTGGGTTTTGAAGTTTGCAGGTTTCAGAGAAAATCTGCATTGGTAAACTGAAAACAAAGTAGAACTAAGAAAAGATCTGGTTGTTCTAGGAAAACTGCTACCTTTCTCAATCAACAGATGCAGGGCATTTCAGAAAACTTCTGTCTGAAACCTTAGCCCTGTCCTAGAAGTGAGCCTTCCGTAATGAAGAGAATTGTCTTCATGTTTGGGATTTCTTTCATGATTTTTGCCTTGTACCCTCTAGATACATCCTCATATGTGATTTTTGTGGTTGGAAATTTCAGTCTCTGACCTTGGTTCCTTTGTAGTGCTTGACAGAAGACAAGATTAGTCTTCTTCTGCACCTGCTTGAAGATGAACTTGATCACCGAACTGATGAGAGAAAAACTGCAAGCAAATTAGGCTCAGACATCCAAGTCCATGTCACTGCCTGTGTTCTCTCTCTGTGCGGCTGGGCGTGTAGGTTAGTCAGTGAATTTGCAGGGGGACGTGAACTCTGACAACATCATACACTGGTATCCATCAGTCACTAATAGGATTGGAGATCCCATGGTGTTTCCTGTCAGAAAAACAGACAAAACCTGAGGGAGTGGCAAGGGGATGGTAAGAATCACTAACAAAACCAGATTTGACCTCAGAAATTCTTGGACACACCTGAACTTTGTTTTTTGTTTTTTGTTTTTTTACTATCACTTCCCAGCTGAGAATCTGTGCTCTTGGAAACAGTGAAGTTCCTTTCTGTTTATAGAAAGGAAGAAAAATCAGTTGAATTCATAAAAACTACCAAAGGAAACGCCAGCTGGAGCCCTCAGGCCTCCACATTGGTGTTTCCATTCTAGCTGCTCAATTTGGCATATACCCCCTCTGAGATAGAAAACTGTTGGAACGGGGGCACATGGCTGGCTCAGTCGGTGGAGCACTGACTCTTATCTCAGGGTTGTGAGTTCAAGCCCCCGCTGGATGTAGAGATTACTTAAAAATAAAATCTTTTTTTTTTTTTTTTTTTTTTTAGTTTTTTTTTTTTTTTTTAAGAAAGACAAAACGAGAGAGGGAAAAAAAGAGGGGGGGGTGGAAGAGGGAGAAGAAGGCCTCCCACCAAGCAGGGAGCCCGATGCGGGGCTCGATCCCAGGACCCTGGGACCATGATCCAAGCCAAAGGCAGACGCCCAATGACTGAGCCACCCAGGCGCCCCTAAAAATAAAATCTCAAAAAAAAAAAGAAAGAAAACTGTTGGAACCAATCTAGATTTACTTTAAATATACTTTCTTTGATAGATTAAGGAATATTTTTCATTGAAAAGGAAAAAGTTTCAAAAGGAATAGGAGAATTTATAAAACATAACCTTTAAGATAGTCTTGCCTTAGAGGTTACACCAAGACCCTTAGATCTTTCTTTAGGAACTTTGTGAGAGACGATGGAGTTGGCCTGAGATGACATGATTCCCAGTCCACTGGGCTGTTCCAAAGATTCGTTTGATGAGATAAAGCGTTCTCATGAGTGATTACACTTAGTCCCTTGGAAATGTTACTCTTTGAGGAAACTTTCTTTTCTGTTCCTGCCTAGTTCTTCTTTGGAACCCATGCAGCTCTCCCTGATAACCTGTTCACAGTGTATGAGGAAAGTGGGGCTCTGGGGCTTCCAGCAGATTGAGTCATCCCTGACGGACCTGGATGCATCCTTTGGCCTGACCAGCTCCCCCATCCCAGGCGCTGAGGGGAAGCCAGAGCGCTTCCCTCTTGTGCCTGAGTCTCCTCGGAGGATGATGACCCGGAGCCAGGATGCTACATGTTCCCCTGGCTCAGAGCAGGTATGGACTTAATTGGCTTGCTTGGGGCGGCCTTTTTAAAAAGCAACATTCTTCCCAAAAGTGTTGTGATGGAAAAGTTGGAGATGACCTTAGGTGGGTAAGCTTCACTTCTGACCACATTGACCAGAATACTGCATTGTTTTTATTCACCAGTTGCAATGCAGAAGCTATATTCATGATTTTGTATAAAAATCTATTATTTTTTTCAAGAGTTTAGTTTTGTCGATGGTTCAGAAAGTAAATTCTTAGAGTTTAAACTGTAAAGCATTAGCTTTCACCTGCTTATAGAAAACTTTGTTCTGACCATTGTCCTTTATGTCATTGGTGTACTTCTGTTACCTCTTCTTTCCTTCAGGCTGAAAGGAGCCCAGGTCCCATTGTCTCCCGAACTCGGAGCTGGGACTCTTCCAGTCCCGTTGACCGTTCTGAGCCAGAGGCTGCTAGCCCCACGACCAGAACTCGGCCCGTGACCCGCAGTATGGGGACAGGAGACGGCACTGGCCTGGAGGTGCCATCTAGCCCTCTCCGGAAAGCCAAGCGAGCTCGCCTCTGCTCTTCCAGCAGCTCGGTGAGTCCACCTGTGTGTAGAAGTGCCTGAGCACAACAGGCAGCGCAACACGCCAGGCCCTCACCGTGTAGCACAAGGAAGCAGGCATGAGCCCTTCCCGGGTCCTGTGACTCTAAGTAGATAATGTGAATAAATTTCAAGATGGGACAGTTGGGTACCATATCTTTGCAGTGGATTCTGGAGAGATAGTAAATATTTCAGGCCCATGGGGATGGCAGTGAGATCAGGGGGACCGACCTGATCAGGTACTGTTGGTTTAACATGAAGGGAATGAAAGTATTTATAAAGAGAGTGGGCATGACGTAGACAGTGTTGAAAGGAGAACGTCAGACTGGAAACGTGGGCACTTGAGAGATTCTGGTTGGGACAGCTCCTAGTGGTGCCTCCCTGAATTGACGTGGCACCCACCCTTCATCAGCACTATTTCTCTTCCCCCTCTCAGGACACATCTTCCCGAAGCTTCTTTGACCCTGCCTCTCAGCATAGAGACTGGTGCCCTTGGGTAAATGTCCCACTTGGCAAGGAAACCAGGGAGCATGGTGGAACGGAGGTAGACACCAGGGGCCCCGCAGAGCCAGGCTGGAAGGCCGTGCTGAACATCCTCTTGGCTCACAAGCAGTCCAGCCAGCCGGCCGAAACAGACCACACGGTGAGATAAGCCGCTGCCTGCGCGTGTGCGGCACTTGCTGTTCATGGGATGAGGAGCAGAGGCGGGTCCTATAATTAGCACCCTGCCTGCCCTCAGCGCTCGGAAGTCAAGTTAGACAGAGTCAGGTTTCGTCCCAGAGAATCGGCGTGGAACTAATTCAGTCTTCCTGCAGTTGCTTAGCATTTGGCCTTCCCTCAAATTCTGGTAAATTGTTTGTCTTCTTAACTAAAATGACTCAAAGTAGAGAAGGAGTATCAAAACAGAAATAGAGGGGAGGCAGCTGCTCCAGCCCCATGTTGCGGAACGGCTGCTTTTTCTGTCAGTTGCTGTCACTTGCATTTGGAGCCTGGCCAGTTAACTTAGCTGTCTGGAGCCCTGTACTCTGACCCCCAGATGACAGTTTCATTCCGCACGGTGGGCATGTTACTTTGCTCTGTTCCACAGCCCCAGGGTTGGGCACTGAGCCTCAGCTGGCCGTTGGCAGTCATGATCTCTGCTGCTTGCAAAATGTGGGTAGATGCAAATCCACCTTGACAGCTGAGAAAACAAGTGTTTACTCTGTGTAAAGGGGGGAAGTGATAGGAGGGTGGGCAATAAGGAATCATGGAAACTGGGTTCTCTTTCCTTTGCTGGCTCCTTCCCAAATCTGCCTTACAGCATTTCATGAATAGAATAACGTCTGACCCCCGTGCCCTCCAAGGACAAAGTAAAATAATACTCGCCAGTTGATGTTTACAAGAAGCCCTCCCAGGTTTGTGGGATTCTGCTGGAGAGAACCATAGCGTTGCGAAAAGCCCAAGAATGTACATTTGTACCCTTAGTAAACAATGCAAATGAAGGCTTCCCAAGTTTTTCCACAGGGAAAAAAAATATCCTCATTTTTCCAGTTTAAAAACTTTTGAAAATATGTAAAGCTATCTGAGGACAAATGTCTCCACCTATATTCTCTGCCCAGATCTTCCTGAAATAGAGCCTTACTGACTGCCCTCTGTCACTGTCTTACTAACAAGAAATCCCACCAGGGTTCTTGTGGGGTTTTTTGTTTTGGTGGTTTTTTTGTTTTGTTTAGTTTTTGTTTTTGTAGTGGGAGAAGTTGACCTCCTAATTGGCCCTGGGTTCCAGGACTTTTGAGACCCTTTTTGGTAGTTTGTCTTAACCTTCCCACAGCTGCTATGACTGGGAAGTTCAGAGCTTAATGAGGCTGGGTAAAGGATCTTGATGTTAGAAAAAAGTTTGTTTTTTTTTCAAAAAGAGTTTTTTTTTTTTTTTTTTTTTTAAAGGTTTTGTTTTTGTGTTTGCTTTTTTTTTTTTTTTTAAAGATTTTATTTATTTATTTGGCAGAGAGATACAGAGAGAGAACAAGTAGGCAGAGAGGCAGGCAGAGGGAGAGGGAGAAGCAGGCTTCCCGCTGAGCAGGGAGCCCGATGCGGGGCTCGATCCCGGGACCCCGGGATCATGACCTGAGCCGAAGGCAGCCGCTTAACCGACTGAGCCACCCAGGCGCCCCTCAACCAGAGTTTCTTTTAACTTTGTCACTCTATTCACTAAATTCCCCTCCATCGTTAGTAAGAGCTCAGAGTCTCCCCACCCCTGCCCCAGACTTTTATTTTATTGAGACACTCATCCACAAATAGGATAAGAAGACAGTGAAAATGTCTTCTGATGTCCGAAAGTGGAGGTAACTTTATGGATTATCTTGCTTGATGATTATTTATATTCTCACTGCGACCCTGTGCTCTTCACTGTGACTCCCACAGAGAGGACCAAGTGTTCTGATTCCCTGAGAACTTTTATCTTTTAGTGAATTGCTTTGTCTCCCTGTCACACCATTTCTCAGAATCTCAGATCACTTCATAGGCACGACCAAGTGGCAGTGAGAGTCTTCCTATTATTAGCTCCGCTGGCTATAAATGAAGCTGAGAAGGCCAGGGTCATCATTTAGCTTCGTTTCACCCCTTCGTCGTGGGTTATACTGTTAACCCCAGTGAGGCATCACGTGAATGTGAATCCTTGTTCACAAGAAATAATGCACTGGGACCAATTCAGCATCACCAGTGGGAACCAGCGCAACACGTGTGCTGCGCTAATGGTGGGTCCCAAGTGTCCGCCTCACACACAAAGACTAAGATAGACGCAGGTGCTTGGGGGAGGACACGAGCCGTGTGTGACAGGCTCAGAGTGCATTAGCGGTCGTGTAACTGTAGAACGCGGGCAACGGTTGATTTTTAGGCCGGTTTTTTTAGGTGTGTGTGATGTGTACAATATAAAGTAATAATATAAAGTTAGCTTGTTTTTCTCAATCCTAGACCTATCTAGATCACCGTGGGAGAAATTCACAGACCAAGCCTTAAAGCTGTTACCCCACCCTTCGTCTTTATGAAAGAATTTAATCTCTAATAATGAGCTTTTCTACCTATAGAGTCTCTCTGAGAAATCAAGGAAGGTATTCCGAATATTCCGGCAGTGGGAATCTTTATGCTCATCCTGAAGATTTTCCAGCCCTTCCTGGAGAGAAGCAGAATGAAGGACTTTGAGAAATAAAATCTGAAATCCTTTTTGGTCAGCAGATGCTAAGTTTTTCTCCGTTCTGGTTTAATCATAAGGAGCCCCTGTCCTTGCAAAAGGCAGTGAATGTCACTGTGTCTGACTGAGGGGGAGCCTGTCTCCATGCGGGGTGTGGGCAGGTGAGGTACAGCAAGCCTGCTTCTGCTAAAGGAGTGTGGGGTTTATTCAAACAGACGGAAGACCAAGGACTTGAGCACTTTTACTCTCTTTCAGTACGGGGCAGTGTTTTGAGGACTCTTACATCCCAGGAATATGAGAGTATGTATTAATAAAATATTTGTTAAATTTCTTACTGCTGGAGAACTACCTTCCTTCTTGCCTCCTGGGCTGATACAAACAAGGCAGACACTGAGAAAACTTGAGCAGAGCACTTAACAAAATCTAAATTTCAGTTTGCAGATTGGCTGCAAAGCCTGACATTTATTAATTTACTTGTGATTCTAGTCGAAGAGGTATTTCTTTTTTTGGAGGTGGGGGAAGGGCAGGGGGAAGGGGAGAGAGAGAATCTCAAGCAGACAACACGCTGACCATGGAGTCCTACGCGAGGCTCGATCTCACGACCCTGGGATCATGACCTGAGCCGAAATCAAGAGTCAGACGTTGGGCGCCTGGGTGGCTCAGTTGGTTAAGCAACTGCCTTCGGCTCAGGTCATGATCCTGGAGTCCCGGGATCGAGTCCCGCATCGGGCTCCCCGCTCAGCGAGGAACCTGCTTCTCCCTCTGACCCTCCCCCCTCTCATGTGCTCACTCTCTCTCTCTCTCTCTCTCTCAAAATAAAAAATAAATCTTTAAAAAAAAAAAAAAGAGTCAGACGTTTGACTGAGCCACCCAGGCGTCCCCCAAAGAGGTATTTGTGAACCAGAGGTTGTTCGTTATGTCACCAGGAGATGTGTGTTGTAGTGAATGGCAGGCTGATAATGTTCTCTTCACTTTGGCAATAACAGAATGAGAGGCTCTAATAAGGGAAGAAAGTCCTTGAGGAGAGACCCCTCTCCATGTGCCTTCTGTACACGGCTCCCCTGAGTGGGGCTCCCCAAAGCCCCTTGACTGCTGGTGGGGAGCATTAGTGTCTGTGGTAGAGAAGATGGACCCTGACCCGTCCCATCTAAATAAGACTGCCCACAGATAATAGGGCCAGAAAGGCTAGAAAGTACTGTCTGAAATGTCATATTTTCTTTTAGTAACTGTGTTTGGTTGGGTTTCTGATTCACTTTTATACTGAAATATTTTAAAGAACATAATAGACATCATAATATTCTGCCCGTGCTAAACTTCAGTTTCCATCTCTTAACAAAATACATTTTTTCCTGTATTCTTCACCCAACAAAAATGCATGATCCCTTAACATCATCTAGTACCCGGTCCATAGACAAAATTCCTAAATATTCCAAGATGTTCTCTACATTTGATTTGTCCAAACCAGGTCCAATTCAAGATCATGGGTTGCATAAATCCCTTTAGTCTGAAGGACGGTCCCTTTTTTTTATGCATATCAGATTTTTAAATTTGTCATTTTTCAGCCCTAATTTTTAAAAGGGTAAATCATGGGCGCCTGGGTGGCTCAGTTGGTTAAGCGACTGCCTTCGGCTCAGGTCATGATCCTGGAGTCCTGGGATCGAGTCCCGCATCGGGCTCCCTGCTCGGCAGGGAGTCTGCTTCTCCCTCTGACCCTATCCCCTCTGATGTGCGCTCTCTCTCTCATTCTGTCTCTCAAATAAATAAATAAAATCTTAAAAATAAATAAATAAATAAAAGGGTAAATCATGTTGATATCACTCCTAAATCAATCCTCTATCAGATGAGGCTGGTGGAGCTGTTCCCAGGTTATTTTTTAGGGGTGCTCTTTTGCCTTTGGCATGAGTGTTCATTGTCAGTCTCCATGGTCCCCTTAGGGGTAGACTGGTGGGCAGCTCTCTGACATTCACAGAAATGAGGCTTTGGGCCCAGGGTGGAAGCTTTTTGCTCACTGGTGACTAAGTGAGTTTGGAGTCTACCCTCTAGAAGCTCGTATCCTCTAGGTCACCACTTTAGGAATGGTGCAGAACCATTAACACAAGGTGCTCAAAAGGACTACCAGGTTATAATAATGTGGGTAAATTTTTTAAAGTCCACTGCAATTTTTAATTATATACCTCCCTCCAAGGAAAGTATTCACATTTCTTTAAAATAGGCTTGGGGCGCCTGGGTGGGTCAGTTGGTTAAGCGACTGCCTTCGGCTCAGGTCATGATCCCAGGGTCCTGGGATCGAGTCCCGCATCGGGCTCCCTGCTCAGCAGGAAGCCTGCTTCTCCCTCTCCCACTCCCCCTGCTTGTGTTCCCTCTCTCGCTGTCTCTCTCTCTGTGTCAATTAAATAAATAAAATCTTTAAAAAAAAATTTAAAAATAAATAGGCAAAGCTCCACAAGCTTGTTTTGTGCGTGTGTGTGTGTTTGTGCGTGTGTTTGTGTTTAAAGTATAAATGGAAGCAGATTGCAATAGACTCGGGTGTAATTCAAGAAACAGTCTCTTCCATGTGGGAGGCACTGTGTAAGCCCTTGTATAGTGCAAACATAATCACTTCCTGTTTCTGCCCTCCAGAAGTTTATCATCCAGGCTGGAAGACACATCTATACACAAATGTTGCACAAGAATGCTCAATACTCTGGGAGAAGCATAAAAGAAGAATTGAGGGGCACCTGGCTGGCTCAGTTGGTAGAATGTGTGACTCTTGTTTTTTTTTTTTAATATTTATTTGAGAGAGAGAGAGCATGAGTGGGAGGGGCAGAGAGAAGGGGAGAGAAAATCTCAAGCACACTCCCTGCTGAGCGGGGGAGCCTGATGTGGGGCTGGATCTCACAACCCTGAGATCATGACCTGAGCTGAAACAAAGACGCTCAACCAACCAAGCCACCCAGGTGCCCCAAGTGTGCAACTCTTTTTTTTTTTAATATTTTATTTATTCATTCATGAGAGACAGAGGGAGAGAGAGAGAGAAGCAGAGGGAGAAGCAGGCTCCCAAGGAGCAGGGAGCCCAATGCAGGACTTGATCCCAGGACCCTGGGATCATGACCTGAGCCAAAGGCAGACACTTAACCATCTGAGCCACCCAGGCGCCCAAGCGTGCAACTCTTGATCTCAGGGTTGTGAGTGCAAGTTCCATATAGGGTGTAGAGCTTATTTAAAAAAATTAAAAAAAAAAAACATTATCATGTATGGAATTGGAGAGAACTTCCAGAAAGGTATAGATTTGAGCTGGACTTGGAGATGAGTGGGACATGTAGGCTCTGTGAAAACTGGGACCTTGTCCATCTTTTCTTTTTTTTTAAGTAAACTCTACCCCCAACATGGGGCTCAAACTCATGACCCCAAAGTCAAGAGTCACATGTTCTTATTGAGCCAGCTAGGCGCCACATTATCTATCTTGTTTACAAGAGCAGTGCTCTAACCCCTGAGCTGTGGAGCCAACCACCATTATCTATCTTGTTTAGACAGCACTTGAAACTGCCTGGCACACATCAGACAACGAAATAAGGATATTTGAGGCTGAAGGAATGTTGTGAGCAAATGAGCAGAATTTCCTATGTTCCTGAAAGAGCAGGTATTCTGCTGTGGCCTGTGCACTGTGGAATAGAATAGAAAGGGTAAGAGAACAGAAGTCAGGACAGATTGGAGTCTCTGTTCTGCTGAGGAGTGTGGTCTTGATTCTGTGGGAAAAGGGAAACTTGAATTTCAGCAGGGAAATGACATTTGTACTCAGGAAGATCATTGTGGTGTGTGTGGATAGCACATTAGGGGAGACAGGAAGGCTCTAAAGGAGGTGTGATGGCAGAGACAATGGATGACTTGACAGAAAAGTCATTGACAACTTCAACGTGAACAGTCTGGGCGTGAGGAAGGGGAAGGAATCAAGGGCGACTGTGAGGTCTGTGGCCAGCCATTCCAGATCAAGAACCAGGAGAGGAGGGAACACAATAGTTGTATTTTTAACATTTTGAGTTCAGTATCTGTCTACAAATGATGTTCTAGAGGTCAGGAGAGGAGAATCCTTTAGGAGGACCCTAAAGTCGAGGGTCATTGTTTCAAATGCAATCTAGAGAACTGCATAAAATAAAGCCATCCACCTTATCGTCAGCCTATGTAACTATGTGCCTATGTAACTATGTACCCGAGGCTTGAGGTTACCTGTCCGAGTTTCTGGTGAATACACTACTAGGCTGGACTGAGTATACTTTCACATGATCTTAGCCAAAAGGCCGAGAAGTGATGGACTAAGTATACTTTCAAACAGCAGTGGGTGTTCTCAGACAGGGTGATGCTCAATTTTATATGTCAGCTTCACTGGGCTGAGGGATGTCCAGATAGCCGGTACAATGTTATTTCTAGATGTATCCGTGAGGATGTTTCAGGAAGAGATGAGCTTTAAAATCGGTGAAGAAGTAAAGTAGATCACCCTCACCAATGCGAGTGGGGATCATCCAATCCATTGAGGGCCTGAATAAAACAAAAGGGGAAGGGTGAATGTGTTCTTTGCTTGAGCTTTGACATCTGTCTTCTATTCTTGGACCTCGGAGCTCCTGGTTCTTGGGCCTTCAAGCCTGGATTGGAATGGCACCACCAGCTTCCCTTGGCCTCCAGCTTGCATGAGACAGATTATGGGCCTCCTCAGCCTCTATGATTGTGTGGGCCAATTCCCACAGAAAATCTCTTTTTTTTTTTTAAAGATTTTATTTATTTATTTGAGAGAGCAAATGAGAGATACAGAGCACGAGAAGGAAGAGGGTCAGAGGGAGAAGCAGACTCCCCGCTGAGCGGGGAGCCCGATGCAGGACTCGATCCCGGGACTCCAGGACCATGACCTGAGCCGAAGGCAGTCGCTTAACCAACTAAGCCACCCAGGCACCCCAGAAAATCTCTTTGTATGTATCTGTACATATCACACCGGTTCTGTTTCCCTGGAGAACTCCAACTGGTACAGATGGAATCGAGCTCATGAACTTCTTCCCAAAGCTGATGTTCGTGTCCACACGCTACGAGATCACTTCAACCCCAGGCTACTCGTTCTTCTTGTGAGTTGTTCCCATCAAAGCTCTTGGTGTGGCCTTTTTAGGAACCCACTTTTCCTGATTTGATTCTTTATTTGAAAATACAATTTTTCTTCTTTTGGCAGATCCTTCGGAAGAAAATAATTGGGACGCCTGGGTGGCTCAGTCGGTTAAGCAGCTGCCTTAGGCTAGGGGCATGATCCCAGGGTCCTGGGATCAAGTCCCGCATCGGGCTCCCTGCTCAGCAGGGAGCCTGCTTCTCCCTCTC